ATGGGAATTGGCTCACAAGATTATGGAGGCTGAGAAGTCCCAGCATCTGCCATGTGCAAGCTGGAGAACCAGGAAAGCCAGTGGGGCAATTCAGTCCACGTCCAAAGGCCTGAGGACCAAGGGGGCGATGGCGTAACGTTTCAGATGCCAAAGGCCTCCAAGAGCTCCAGTGTCCAAAGACAGGAGAAGATGGGTGTCCCAGCTCAAGGGAAGAGAATTTGCCCTTTCTCCACCTTTTTGTTCCATTTGGTCCCTCAATGGATTGGATGAGGCCCAACCACATCAGAGAGGGTAGATCTTTTTTTCAGTCTGATTCAAATGCTAATCTCTTCCAGAAACACCCTCACGGACACACCCAGAAATAATATTTTACCATCTATCTGGGCATCCTTTAGGCTTGTCAAGTTGACACATGGAATTAACCATCAGACTGTTCACCCATCAGTGGACATTTGGGTTGTTTCTATCTTTTGACTATCGCGAATAACACTGCGATGAACATTGGTGCACAAATATCCATTTGAGTTCCTACTTTCAATTGTTTTGTGAACACGTACACGCAGAAGTGGAATTGCTGGATCACATGGTAATTCAGTGTTTAATTTTTTTGAAAAACTGTCTAAAGTTTTCCACAGCAGCTGCACCATTCTGCATCCCCACCAGCAACGCACAACGGTTTTCGTTTCTCCACACCTCGACACTTGTTATCTTCTGTTTTTCTGATAACAGCCAACTTAATGGGGGCGAGGTTCTACCGCCTGGTTTTTATTTGCATTTCCCTGCTAGCTAATGATGGTAAGCAGATCCTGATGTGCTACTGGCCATTTGTTTATCTTCTTTGGAGAGATGTCTGCTCAAATCTTTTGCCCATTTTTGAATTGTTTGGGGTTTTTTTGTTGTTATTGAGTATTAGCTCTCTGTATGTTCTGGATATTAATCCTCATCAGATATGTGATTTGCAAACATTTCCTCCCATTCTGTGGGTTGCCTTTTTATTACATTTTGATACTGTCTTTTGGTGCACAAAAGTTTTTCATTTTTATGAAGCTCAATTTATCTATTTTTTCTTTTGTTGCCTGCATTTTTATATTGTATCCAGGAAATCACTGCCAAATCCAGTGTCATGAAGATTTTACCCTATGTTTTCTTCTGAGTTTTATAGTGTTAGGTCTTACATTCAGGTATTTGATCCATTTTGAGTTAATTTTGTATATAGTGTTAGGTAAGGGTCAACTTCACTCTTGTGCATGTGGATATCCAGTTTCCCGGCACCATTTGTTGAAAAGACTGTTCTTTCCTCCATTGAATGGTCTTGGCACCCTTGTTGAAAATCATTCAACTATACATGGGAGGGTTTTGTTTTTCTGGGCTCTCTATTCTATGTCACTGTTCATGTGTCTGTCTTTATGCCAGTACCACATTTTTTTGATTACTGTAGCTTTGTATTAAGCTTTGAAATTAGGAAGTGTTAGTCCTGTTTGTTCTTTTTTAAGATTGTTTTGGCTACTTGGAGTCCCTTGAGATTATTCCATATGAACATAACTTAAGGATGAATTTTTCTATTTCTGCAACAGAGAGTCAAGATTTTTGACAGGGGAGAAATATGTAAAATGATTGACGTTAAGTTAAAACCCTGTAATTCTAAATTTGAGTAAGAGACATCAGTGTGAACTCCTGATGCATCTCACATATTTTTTAAATGTCTCCAATGGGCGTGGTGGCTCACGCCTGTAATCCCAACACTTTAGGAGGCAGAGGCACTTGAGGCCAGGAGTTTGAGACCAATCTGGGAAACATAGTTAAGACCCTACCTCTTAAAAAAAAAAAAAAATTAGCCAGGCATAGTAGAGCATGCCTTTAGTCCTGGCTATTCAGGAGGCTGAGGCAGGAGGATTGCTTGAACCCAGGAGTTTAAGGTTGTAGTGAGCTATGATGACGCCACTGCACTCTAGCCCTAGCAAAAGAGTGAGACCCTATCTCAAAATTTAAAAATGTCCTAACTATTCATTGTAAATGTCTACAATGACTGACCCGGTAGCAATAAGCATCCCTTGCACTCAACTGTAGTCTCTGAATACCATTTCCCACTAAGAAAAAGATTAGGACTTCTTGGAAAGCTGCCTGATTCCAGATCTAGGTCAGAAAATCTACCAGATGAGCCTGGGAACATCTTTTCATACCAGACAGCAAGGAAGCTATCACAGACTATTGGAATTATGTCAAAAGTACCGAAGAACCAACTTAAAGAGGCTCTCACTGGCCAAAGATGAAACAATCTGGATTTCCAGAAGAATATATAACTGCATGGCCGGGCTCACGCCTGTAATCCTAGCACTCCGGGAGGCCGAGGCGGGCGGATCGTTTGAGCTCAGGAGTTCGAGACCAGCCTGAGCAAGAGGGAGACCCCGTCTCTACTATAAATAGAAAGAAATTAACAAACAACTAAAAAAATAGAAAAAAAAAATTT